ATAATTTTCCTAAAACCTTAACAATATCATAATATGTTGGATATGTGTTCGATTCCCGCTGAATGCATTATTGGGGAGGGGGCTGAACCTTTAGCCATCACTGTTTCTCCGCACTCCGGATTAGTCCCATAGCCGGCTCAAAGAGTCGAAGCTCGTGGGGATACCGGAGGGAGCCAACTCGCCTCAAAGAGATAATTAGGGTTGTGTAACTCCAAAAAAAAAAAAAATTACAGAGAATAATTTTGTCTTATGTTATTGGAGAAATTTTAATCTTTTTAACATATATTGGCATAATTGTTGATATAATGTTAATGAGAGTTATTAATCTCATGTTATTGGAGATAGTACTTTTATGTAAATAAGACAAATATGCGGGGGTCATAATTTAAAAAAAAATTGACACAAAATTCTATAAATTTATAGCATCGGATAATTTTCTTATGCACGACGAGACTTATATTTCTCAACTTTAATATATCCCAACATTACATGTAGAGGTGGCAAAGTGGGTGGTCCGTACCGCCCCACCACGCCAAAAAATGAGTCAGCCCGTCCCGCTCCGCTTTTGAAAGTGGGCTGAAAAACTCAGCCCGCCCTGTCCCGTTTGGCAGGTTGGGCGGGTTGGCCCGCCAACCCGAGCCTATTCTACACTGACCCGCCTCTGCCCGCCTATGCTCGCCATCAACCCGCCAAAAAATGAGCCCGCCCCGCTTTTGAGATGGGTTGAAAAATTCAGCTCGCCCCGTCCCGTTTGGCGGGTTGGCCCGCCGAGCCGAGCCCGTTTTGCCGCTCTAATTACAGGTTTTGGAAAAATAACTTTAAGGGGTTTATACTTCTCCTTTTAAAGGAGAATAGTCTTCTTATGTGATAGATACATTAAATGGCGGAGCCCACTTGAATTTTTTTCTCTCACTTCTTTCCCTTTTCTCTCTCTTAATTATTGTGTCAGTCAATGATGCACGGACACGGGACACGATACGGCACGACACGCCGACACGTTAATTCTAAAAAATGTCATATTTTGACACGTTGGGACACGCTTTGATATTAAATAAAATTTTTAATATATATAATATAATTTATATTTAATACATATAAGAGTCCATAATAAGTCATATAACCAATCAAATATTTAAATTTCATAACATAAATATAAATAATTTTTCGTAATTTGTTAAATTTTCATGTCAAATTTCATAACAGAAAAAAATTAATATAAATTAATTTTTTTTATTTTTAGTTAATAAAATAAAATTAAGATTTAAAAAAAAACGTGTCCGAACGTTAACCGCGTGTCAAAAAAATGTATCAAAGAATTGACCGCGTGTCCTTAAATATTAACCGTGTGTCGGACACGTGTCCGACACGGACACACGTCCGACATGCAATTTTTTTTTTAAATGTCGTGTCCTTGCTTTGAAGGTATAAGAACTTCTTCTTCAAGAGGAGAAGTTGTTATCCCTAACTTTAACATATACTAACATAGGTTTTCGTGAAAAAAATTAACCAATACATAAAATAATTAAAAAGATGTAAATTCTATGCACGGAGATTCATGAGCTATATATAGCCAATAAAATCTTTAATATTATTAGGTTGAAGTGAAAATGGCATATTAATCCAAGCCATCCAGAGCTAGTGTCTAGTGAGTGAATGAATGAGGATGACGAAAATATTTTCAATACTCCAAGATTATTGAGTACTCATTACAATATTTATTAAATATAATAAAAATAATTTTTTTATATTATTTTTACTTTTATAGTTATTTTCATTCATATTTTTTATTGTTCCTATTTTAATAAAAGACATGTGCTCCAAGAGCACCGAAAATGAGTTGGATCATCACCTCACATGCCCAATCCAATCAACTAACTCAATGACCCCATGACATGACCCTAAATTAATTTTGCAGATAAAATTTGGATGGTTGGTAGGATCAGCTCACTATCCGTTACCGTTGTATTTTAGTTGCTACCAGCTTTTAATTAATTTGATTTGTGTCATTTACCTATTTTAAGTTCCTTATATATCGTCAACACGCAACTATATTGGGAAAGAATACTCGCAGCATTTAAGCAAGCATGATTTGAAACACAAATGAGAAAGAAATTAAAGACATTTCTGCAGCTAGCGTCATATTAGATAATAGATTAGCACAAAACACTCTTTAAACACCAAATCATATATATACATTGAGCGAAGGCTGCTTAGTGTATGCTACTACTCGAGGGTAGTTGGATTTGATTAACTTGATGTAAACAAGTCCCAAATATAATATTGCTATGTAACCTTCCTCAGATCCATTATTCTCTTAATTTCTAACTCGTTAGTTTTACTTGTCTTTCATTTATTCAACTTAATTAGTAGCATGTGTTAAGAAAGTGTGCCAATCCAGAACATGCCACCAAATTTAGAAGAGCATAATAATATATAGTGTATTTATGTGAGGTAAAAGAAATAATGACAAAGAAGGTTCCAACTAACTTGGTGAAGTTATTTTTATATAATTGTAAGGGTCTAAACTTAAATTTTGTATTTCTTTCTCTTTTTCCTCATGTGTAATATTTATGCATCGGTATGTGTTTTTTGAATGAAAAAAAATGAGCTATTTAATTTTCAAATCAATTATGTAAAGGAAAAAAAAGTACAACAAATAATGGCAATACCTAATTAGGGTCAGATCATGCATCCAGTATACATACATACCGAAGTTATGAAGTTTGTTGGCTCATGACCTAAATAATTAAATGTTAGGAGGATGGTAGAATAATGCATGTGGTACCATGAGTAATGTTAGTTCATTCACGCAATTTAGGTAGCCTGTTAATTAAGCATCCGTGTGTAATATGTATTGACTTGCCTATTACTACGAGTCAACGAGGGGAAATGTGGAAGATTAAATTAAATTAAACATTAGATAATAATATAAATCATTAAAAAAATCCTCACTCAATAATTTATATTTTTGGACTAAAATGATTCTTTACAATATGAGAGCATCACTGATCATAATGTCACGTGTTCGATCCTTATCGCACTGCTTTTTCTAGTGGAATTAAATAAGTACAAAGTAAACTAAAAATTGAGCCTGTGCAATATCCATGTTTCAAGCCCAAAGGACTCTTGCGTGAGGGGGAGTGTGAGAGAATAACATAAACCATTAAAAAGACTCTCACCCAACAACTTAAGCTTTTGGGTTACCCACCGAAATTTCTTTTATATATTTATGATATGTGATCATTTGGCATCAGTATCAAACAAAAAGTTTGACACCTCATCTTAGGGCTGTTAGATCAAGACAAATTAAAATTATCACATGCCTACAAATCAAAATCGTTAGATCAAGACAAGATCAATGACTCTATATGAGATGTTAACCTTAAAATATATGTGTGTGTGTGTGTGGATGTGAAAAATAACAAAAAAACTGAACCGAACTGAATTGCACTTAAAATAATCAGTTTTTAAAAATCAATTCATGAACCGAACCAATTTTTAAAGAATCAGTTCATGAACCGAACCGATTTTTAGAATCAGTTCAAGAACCGAACCGAACTCTTTCTGAACCGAACCAAATTGATTTTTATTACTTTATTTTTTAATTTTTCTTTTTTTTTTTCAGAATAGGGTCGACCCGAACCGGTTCTGAACCCAACCCAACCGAACCACTTCCGAACTAAACCGATTTTGAACTGAACTAAACCATTTTCGAACCAAACAATTCAAACCAACTCTGTTCGGTTTTTCAAAAATTTCAGTTCGGTTCGACCCATGCACACCTCTCTCTCTCTCTCTCTCTCTCTATATATATATATATATATATATATATATATATATATATAAGGAGAGATCTTTTGACTTAGAAGTCTCCTCATCTCAGCCGTTGATTTTCATCCATCTAACGATTGTATTTTTTTGAGTAATACTAATTAATTAATTATTAATTTTAAATAATTATAATCGTGATAGATGGACGAAAATCAATGGCTAAGATAGGGAGTAGACTCCTAAATCTTACACCGGAGTCAAAAGATTCCTTCACACACACACACACACCGTAAGTCTTACATCTAATCGATCTTAATCGTTGATTTTCATGTATCTAACGGTTATGATTTATTGAAAATTATTAATGTAAACCCAATAAATTACAACCGTCAGATGCGCGAAAATCAACTATTAAGTTTTAGTGTAAGACTTATTATTCTTATAAAAAAACCAGGATCCGCATGCGTATCTTCGCTTGCTATATGTGTGACGGCTACAGAAATGATTTTGTCTACATATATATATGTGGATTAATTATTTGTCATGTCACTTACCGTTCTGTCACCCAAAAGTAAATTATAAATATCTTATAATATATGTTTTTTAAAAATTTATGTTAACATAAATATATTAGCATATTATATATAAATTATTATGCATTATTAAAATAATTATATATTTAAAAATATTACACAAGATTGAACAAATTCAAATAATGTAAAATATAATTAACTCAAACCCAATTCAAAATATACACCAAATCTAATGTATAAAAATCTAAATTCATTCTATTTAACTCTTATTTGAAAATCTTGAATTCCTTAAATGTATTTGAATATATTAGAGCTCTTATAATTGAATGATGTAGAGTTCAATTTTTTAAACGTCATTTTTCTAATAAAAAATATCAACACCTACACTTCAAGTTACCAAAGATTGTTGATAATGCAGAGAATAATAAAATTAATTATGAGAATTCACACTAACATCGTAGTTATGATATGAATAAATAATTGAACTATATTTAGTAAAATAGAATAGAAACAGTTGTCATTCTAACTGGAAAGATCTGATCCTACAAAGAATAAAGTTTATACACTTACATATGAAGCAGTTTTTTTTTTTTTAATCTTCATCTTTCTATGGTGGAGAAACAATAAATCAATATCAGACCTTTATCACATTTACGAATAAAGAAAACTAAAAGAAAAGAAAAAAAAAAGTGGGGGGGGGAGGAAGAAGTACACGAAGAAACGGAGGAAAATATTGCGTAATAATGTTCAAATGTACTGGTGGTGCTGTATCATTTGCATCAACAACTAATTAGTTATACAAATTACAGAAGAAAAGAAAGTAAGAGAGTTACCAAAATTAATGAATTTCATCCTCTCATTCCTCTCCAATTTCATTTCATTTCCAAGCTTCTATAATCGAGAACATTGGGTTTCAAGCCCAAGAAATCATAACCAGAAGCAGTGGTGCTCCCAGTACTCGTGTTGCCAATATTACCATCAATCCCACAGCTGCAATCTTTGCTATTCTGCAAACCCAAACTGCAAGCAAAGCAAAGGCTTCTCCCTATGATGATTTTGTTGAATGGTTGATCAGGTTGAGGCTGATGTGGAGGACTAATTGTTAACTCAAGGTTCAAGTCAGGACAACGTTCTAAGGTGGGTCCTTTGGAATCTTCATTATTCTCCCTATTATTGTCTTCTTCTTGTTTAGTAGCAAAAGATATTGTGGTGGCAGCAGCAGCAGCAGCAACAGCAACAGCTGATACATGATTGTGAGAAGGCTCGTTGAGAGGCCTGTGACTTGCAGGGTCAATTCCTCTGCTCAAAAGCTTCCTTCTTATATGAGTATTCCAGTAATTCTTTATCTCATTGTCTGTTCTTCCAGGTAATCTTCCAGCTATTAGAGACCACCTATGTTATTTCCAAAATCCATGTCAATATTTCATTTCATTCATTTAATCAAATGAATAAATTAATAATATAAAAAAGTAACTCTTTTTTTTGTATAATATGATATAATATGAGCTAGCTTATTACTTACTTGTTACCAAGGAGACTATGGAGTTTGATGATGAGTTCATCTTCTTCTTCGGTGAAATTGCCTCGTTTGAGGTCAGGTCGGAGATAGTTGATCCAACGGAGACGGCAACTCTTGCCGCAACGGAGAAGGCCGGCGGCTTTGGGGAGAGAGCGCCAGCATCCCTCACCATGAGCTCGAATATAAGCTATAAGGCGATCATCTTCTTCTTTGGTCCATGCACCTTTATTTGTATGAGCTTTCTCACAGCAAGGTGACCTACCCATCTTCCACTATTCCACTATTCCACTATTCCACTTCCACTTTGGGTTGAGTTGAGTTGCTCAATTTCTTTCCTTCAGAGATGTGTTGTATGGTGATATTCTGTGCTGTTGTTTCTTGTGTTGCTGCAACAATAAGGCCGGCCTTGGTAGAAGTTGGGGTGTGATTTTTATAGGCTTTTGACCCAAAGAGAGAGAGAGAGAGAGAGAAGGAAGTGAGCCTCAGCCTAGTAAAGTTGCTTCTAGATGTGAGTTGGTGAGACAGGTTAGAGTAGAGTGGCTGGTAGCTTTCTCTCTCTCTTTGATGATATTACTATATTGGCATCAATGATACAAGACATTAACTATGGGTTAGGATATATTAAAGTATGGGCAAGGCAATACGAGATGTGATCTCTGCCCCCTTTTTATATATAATCTTACACTTTCCCCCAATTTGAAACTCTACTTTGCTTATCTTTTGCTAAATGAAATAAATGAAATAAATTTATTCAGTTATCAATTCTTTTTTAATAATTGTCGAATGAAATGTGAAGCTGTTGTTATGTAGGGACTAAGCCACTTCTGGTTTTAATCACTTTAGATTATAGATACTACTCCAGGGCGCGTTTCGAATAAATACTTTTATTTATTTATTTTAAAGCATTTTCATTTTTTTAAAACAACAGTCAAATTACTCTTTTGTGTTTATTTTTTGGTGGGTAATGGCTTCAATTATTTTTTTTTTCCTAATTTTATAAAATATCTTTGCCTTTTTTTCCAATGAAATCACCACCAAATATAATTTGAATTTGATTTTGATGCAATTTTAATTAAAAAAATATTCTTATATTTAATGATATTTTATTTAAATTATGTAATAAATCTCTTATTTTATATAATTAATAGTATAAAAATTTATTACATGTTTTTCCTGTGGTACCTATATCTGGTTTATGTTATTAATTAGTTATTACTGTTATGGTATATAAATTCTTAATAATTCATAAGATATAATTAAAAAATAAATACTTGACAAGTTACTTTAAATACCTATATCCTTAAAAGAAATATGGGTAGTGAAATTTTTTTCCATTAAATAACATGTCAATAAAAAAATAAATAATAATGGAAAAAGTTATATAATATAATAAAATCAAACTCATAACTTTCTTTGGTAGAAAGCGAGGGATTGCAACCCAAAGAAAACAAAACAAACAAGAAACACTCTAAGAACAGGATATTGAAAAATTACATACGGAGAACCTACACCATGCCAAGCTTAACCCTTAAAAAAACTTTCTCTTGATAGTAAAAAAAAACGATAAAGTTTATGGTGAGTAATGGCATACTTTGATTGTAGAGCGACTTTTGCAAATACTCATTTGTATTATATTTTAATAATTTAAATGAATAAATGTTACTTGAAAATTAATTCAATATTCTATATTTAAATGTTATATTATATGTTCTAATTTGTTTATGGGTTTACCATTTCTCCATCAATATTTAGGGTTTACCAGTTATATGCTTTCTCTTGTTACGTGTTGGGAGTGAAATTTAGGGTTTAATTAAATAAAAAAGTTTATTAAGTTAGTTGTAAGCGGGTTTCCCGAAAAGAAATGTATCGGTAGTTTGGCTATTCATGTGCGAAAGCATAGAGATGGTAATGGTAGTTGTGGTTCTTTATTATATTGGTGCATTATCATGCATGAGAGAGAGAGAGAGAGAGAGAGGGACACGTTTCTAGAAGAGTTGGAAGTTGGGTTCAAGGAAGGATGATGAAAAAAGAGAAGGGAAAAATGGGAAAAGATGAATGAGTGTGGTAATGAGTGTGGTTGTGGTTGTATACGGGCTTTGGCTCACCTTCCACTTTCCGTTGTTCTTTGCTCCAACCTTGTGGTACAAGTTTAGGTAAGGCATAAGGGAAAGGTTGGGATTGGATTGGAGGTGTTGATTCACCTTTTTGTTGTTATCTACCCCCCCAGTTGCATTTTGTACATATATATCCACTCTCTTAATTTCTATCTCTCTCTTCCAATGAATATCAAGTTGATGGTAAGAGTTACTATCATGGGTACAAGTTGCTTTCAAGTAGGGAGAGCAAGAGAGAGTAAAAATATTCACTCCACTTGGGTAATTATTTGTCAGTATTTCACCTACCTTTTCACTAATTTTTTCTCTCACGGTTCTTGCTATTCTAATCCAACTCTTTACCCGGTTATATGTTGAACATGATTTACATCACTACTCCCAACTAACTAATGAAGGCGCACAAAAAGCGGGGGAAAAAAGGACAAATGAATGTGCACACACTTCACAAAATCCAACTACTATGTTTTATTTTTCTTCAAACTGACATAAATTAAACTAGCATATACTGACGAGATTTTCTTTTAAGCACTTATACCAATTTTCTTTCGGTTAAAAAAAAACAAGAAAAATAATCTCTATGTACTCCCTAATTAGTTTAAAAAATAACGGAACACCTCAACCGAGATCATGAACATATATATTCTTACATTAATTTTATGTTGTGTTAATCAGTGAGACAAACAACAATACCTAAATCTATTCATAGGGAACCCAGAAAGTTGTAATGTGCGTGTAATACTAAAATTACCAGTAATAAATGACGGATGAATCGCATAACTGCAAGACATTAATAAATTGAGTATCAGCAATGGTATTGGTCGCTATCAGTTGGGTGCAATTATTATTAGCAATGATAAACCTACTATGGTCTTCTTAGCTAAACCAAAACCGAGGAACAACATAAGGGCGTCTCTCCCCTATGAGTGTTGCACAAAAATGCAAACATCCCCTAAATGGGAAACTCCAAAACTTAAAGAAAAAATGAAAGGAAAAGGGACTCCACCCAAAAAGATTAGGAAGAGATTGGCGTACGATTTGCATTTACATGATTGTTTGTGTATGGTGAGAGCCAGCACATTAACACGAGGATGTCATGTGCTTAGGTACTTGTGGGAGGCTGTCCTAAGAACCCTTACCTACCTCTTTGGCTGTCCTCCACATGTGGGTCTCCACAAACTTGGACCTTTTTCGCTATGTCTGCCTCAAAGACATGTATGTGACTCTAGGGTGGATAAAAGTTAGACGCTATCATTCAAGATTCAAGAAACATGCTGTTCACAAATGACAATAATTTTTATGGAGTTTGGTAACATTATTGTTATTGACAGACACCAACTGCAGATATAGATCTATCTCAACCTGTCTCAGGTTGTTCTTTAGGTCTTCCTTTTTAACTTTTTTTCGTTTGTTTCCTTTTTAATTACGACAGATTATCGACCAACCTGCGGATTATAATAGACGAGTACTATGAGCCACAGAAAGACCCATCTGAAAGTCCATTACCTTCTGTTTTGGAATCTTCAAGACAAAGATGACTCATCTCATTTGAACTAATAATTACCTCAACAAGCACCATATCTGGAGTTTGTCCAGCGATGTCTTTCTTGATAGAAAAAAAGAACCTTCTCACTCCCAATTGCTCATATTTATACTAGGCTTGCCTCATTAACAAATACCTTGATTAACTTCAATTGGATGCATGCTCCTACTCCTTAGTAATATTAAATTTAATGGCTCTCCTTCTACTTGGTTATATATGCACACCATAAGCAAGTGGTGCGCAATTATAAATGATCCAACAGTTAATTATCAATACGGTTTGTTTATACCAGGGAGAATATCACATAGCCAAAGTGAAGATCTATACACAGAACCCACAGGCAAACCATGGGGGGGGGGGGGGGGGGGGGCGAGTACTTTACACAGATTATGTTGCCAAGTTTACATTGTTCTGATTTTCTCACTCAAAACATAAGTACAATAAGTTAGCCTCTTTGAGCATGTTTTGTTGTCTACCCTTTCTAACCTTCAGAGAACAGGAACGCACAAATGGGACTAAAGAAATTTGCATTTAGGTATAACAATGAATGCTCTTAAATGGAGTTTCAGTTGTACTTCTAGGCTATCCATATGCTCAGAATGGCTGTTGCATTATTCTTATTGGCACTAAGAACAAATACGCGGATACTGAAACTGCAAAAATGAACCCAATACTGCTCATTATGGGTCACATATTCGTAAACAACCAAGAGAGATCAACAAAGCCAAAGTCTACTTCGCTCTTTTACGAACTTCATACAAGTAACTGAGGATCACCCCAGCAGCAGTAACTACAATTCTTACAGCACTTTGAGCCAGTGCAATCCCATCCTTAGATGATATCTCTAAACTTGGCACAAACCCTGGCTCTGAAAGTTTTTTATGGGATTCAGATTGATCTTGAAAAAATTGTATCCTCATCCTGCCAGAGGGATACAGTTTAGAAATACGTGGCAGCAGACAAATTCAAGTAATCTAATGATGCATCAACCTCACAGTCAGAACTTAGATGCAAATAGCTATTATCTTCTTCTTTGATTCTTTCGTTAATAGAGTTTAAATCAATACAGAAACTTCTAGTGAATGTCTTGAGCAAAGCTAGTATGGATAGAAGTTACAAGCTATAATAATTAATAGGCAAATATATTTTCAGATTTCAGTTCGCTGTAAATGTTAGCTCCATCAGTGGATAGAAGGAAAACAAGGCCAAGGTATGGCCAGAAATTAGCATAGCATGAAAACCAATGGGGAAAATAATGAAGAGAGAACCGATACACATGATCACATATTAAACAAGAAAGTTAATCTGTTAGTTTTATCACCCAAGTGGCACATGAGATACCAATTCCTCTTCTGATGCATCAGGATAATGGAAACGAGCAAAATAAAACTGCAGAGCATGGTGCTTCCTGGGGAGAAGAAGAATGTGTTATTTATAAACTGCTACTCGATGCAATGAGGTCAGGTCAAACTATTAATCTAATAATTAATGGCATGAAGCCTACAAGCTTGAGAATCATTGGATTTAACAGTAAATAGAAAGACTTATGAATGCTCTTGAGAAACATGAATTGCCAGGAGAAAGCACCAAATAAATCACAAACAGCGATTATGAGATGCTCATTTGGATTAAATAGTACCTTTTCATATAGCTCAACATAACGATGAAGTTCAGGGTCCTCAATAAAGCCTTGTCTGTTTGAAGTTTAAGCAGCCCCACATAATCTTGTTTTCAAGGTTCCCTGAGATCAAAATGATGTTTGGCTGAAAATAAAAAGTCCAAATCTACAAATGTCCTAGTTTCAAGCCAAATATGAGTAGTATTGCTCACGGCTTAAGTCTTACATGAAGTATGGGTTATCAAACTTCAGAGGATCCTCTGTCCAAGGGCCATAAACCCTGATATCTCTCAATTTGCTCTTACCCATATAACACAGAAAAGGAAATA